GAAAGGATCCATATGCGTGCTGTTTCTGCTGGCAGAATGTTATTTGGAAGCCAACTTGCACGGCTTAGCCAAGATGGGCGTGGGGCTGACAACGCAACGCAAGACACTGCTAGGGAGCTTGATATGTGTGAAGCATTGTCGATGGTGTCTTGATGCATGCCTAGAGGTCTTCTCAGGCGTGAAGCCGCCTGGTTCGTGCGAATACCTAGAAACGAGAGAGGGCAGACATGATGTTTGCATTCCGTGCGCACACACACACATGTACTTAACAGACACTTCAACTAGACTGTGTTGTTGCTGTTGCTGTTGCTGCTGTTGTCGTTGAACCTTTTGCTTACACACGCCAAATCATTTGGCGATTCCAGCTCACTCATTTGACGATTCCGGTTCAACATACTTCTTGAACACGCTCCCTCATTTGGCGGCTCCGGTTTATCATATCTTAAACACGCCACCTCAGGACCTCATGTGGCGATTCCGGTCCATCATGCATCTTGAAGCCCGCGACGCGGGCGAACCAGGGACCATAGGACCAGGAAACCGTGGGCCAACCCGAATTACCAAGGACCCCAGACCAGAGCCAACCTTAGGAACAAAAAACCGGGACCCTCCTAAGTACAGTACACGAAGATACAGGTAGAGCTATACATCTACGGATACATACATACACACATACCTAAACACAAACATATACAACATACAGATACACATAACTTACGCATACAAACATACATACTATACATACAGACATACGTACGTACATACATACATACATACATACATACACATGTACATACATACGTACATGCATACGTACATACATGCATACGTACGTACGTACGTACCTAGATACATACATACATACACACACACGCACATGCGTATGTACATGTATACGAACATATACACGTATGCATGCACAAATGCCTACACACATAGTTAGATAGATAGATCGATAGACAGATAGAATAGAATAGAATAGAGTAGAGTAGAGTAGGATAGGATAGGATAGGATAGATAGATAGATATACCGATAGACAGATACTTTTGTTCATTATGTGTGAATGCACATGTGTATTTATATATATATATATGTATATATTATATTATATATATAATATAATA